ACTCAATTTATTTATTTCAAGAGTCAATGGCTCACGCCAGGAGGATTCTGTTGACTGTAACTAAGAATGAATTTTGGGCAACTGCTGACTATAATAATTACATTCATTTTTATTTGTGAAATTATTCAATTGCCTTTGTTTTTCATATTTACTCTTCATTTAAAGCTTAGTGATACATGCAGCTTTGTGAAAAAGGATGGTACATATCATTAAGATTGCCAATCTTATGTCTAGTTAGATTTTAAGCTAACATTTATGTTTGGCACCATATGTTGCCTGGTACTTAAAAAGTACCTTTAAAAGATAATATTTTGCCTGAAGTTAAGAACTTATCAAAAATCTATAGAAGAAAATGAATAGAACCAGAGATGGCTTGAAACGTACAAAATCGATCTTTATGAGGAATAAGGAAAATAACAAACATTCAGTTATATATGCTGGTAAAAAGCAGAGAACCCCCATCCACTCCACTATAAGATACTCAAATTTTGATGAGACAGTCTGCAAGCTTGAAAACTTGTCATATTCTGATGATCATAACACATATTTTGGCATTTCTTTTTCTGAAGGAAATAGTACTAGAAGTAGTTTTAATGTACAGAATCTTTAAAAAGGTAGCTGTTGAGAAAAGACCTTGTGCAATATTTTGTAGGTTAATTACACTGACAGGAAAAATTAAAGGAACAGCTATAAAAAGATATTTTCTATTATTAAGTGAAGTCCAATGAAAGGTAGTTGGTGGCAGCTCAAAGCCAATGTTATCACATATTCCAAGTTACACAGAAATATATAACTTTTTGCCCCTGTCCATTTGACATGTTTGGAAAGGAGTGGAAGAGGGCACTTTAGATACTAATTTCAAGCATCGACTGAACAGCTGTATAAAATTTTCATATGTGGAAGGTGAAACATGTCATCAAGGATGTAAGGTTTTATGCTAATCAATTCATTATCTTATTTTTATCATTACTGTCTTTTCTACTTTCATTGTCTACCACCAGGATGCATATTAGTCCATATAAGAACAGAGTTCTTGAAATTAGGAAATGAGTTTTAGGTAGTGACGCAGACCTTTGTGCTATTTCTTGGGCCAGCTCTTAGAATTACATAAACTGACTTTAGCCTTTTGCTAGAAGTGTTAGTTGCATACTTTGAAACCTGAACCAAAGCTTAGATTAGGATTGCTTTGTGCATTCCAGCAGTATTTACTTTAAATTCTACTTAAATATTTTATATTAGCTAGATAATGAAGTATGAAGATTGTTTGGTTTACTGTTCCTGTAAAACATCAGCTGTGCATTTGTTACAATGCAAATATGACACAAGTATTACTCAAATACAAGCATTACACAAATATTACACAAGTACACTTGTATATAATTATACAAGTTACAATGCAAATATTTATTTCAAATCTCCTTCTGAGTCTAGTTATTTTAATAGGGCAAAAAATGAGTCCATATGGAAACAAAAAATAGCATATGGAAACAGAATTTCATTGTAAATCTTAGGGTTCTGTACAAAGCAGATGTGGATTGTGAGAAATGAAATGCAATTATGAGAACAGAAGCAAGATAATCACTGATGTATGCCTGTAAATACGTAAAAGTAGTCAAGAATCTGGAAACAGATGTGACTGACACTGTTGATGTATGCAGACAACCAGGGCCAAGTTCAGAAACATGCTACTACAGACTCTCAGCACACTTATTTGGCAATGACTGCTGAAAGAAATGGACAACTGACATCCACCCATATTGTAAGGGAGTTTGCTGCAGCTACAAGAACATGACTACCCAAATATGCCATGAGTCGTAAGCTGCATAAAAGAGAGCTGTATGCAAGGAAACTCATGATTTGCATACCACTAACTCAGACAGTGTTCATTTGCAGGTGCAGAGATCACCATGACTGAAATACCATGGACTTAAGCCAAGTTCTATTTCCTGGCGAGTCTTGTTCTGTCCTCTTAACAGACCAAAATGCTCTTCATTGTAACGATGCACAAGGAATAGAATACTGTTAGGACGAAGGAATCCAGCAGATGGAATAGCAGGCATATCCTCCATATTTAAATCCAACAAAATGTGTGGGACGCACTATAATCTGACTTGCATCATTGTAGCCCTCCGACCTAGCACTCTTCAGAAACTTCAAGGTGATATTCATCATGAATACACTTAGAAACTCCTAGACAATCTTATACACAGATCTGTTGACATAATCACAGACAGATCTTCCTGTTAGAAGGATCGTAATGTCGAGGAGTTGCTAACAAAGGCTTCGTTGCTGGACCCTCTGTCTAAAGTCTTTGCCTGAGGGTGCTTAGATTTAATGATGCAGACCTAACACAGTACCAGACCTTTCTCCTTCAGCCTAATAAGGAGTGAAATAAGCCGAGTGTTCGTGTGGATTCAAATACCACTACAAGCTATAATGGCCAGTCTGCTCCCCCTGCTCCTCTTGCCCAATATGGAGCAAGCTCCCGGTTTTTCACAGTTGCATTAAGCTACAGGAAAGGTAAGTAAAACTTGATTGATTATACGCAGCATGGAAAATTGCCATAAAGTAGGCATTTTGATCAAGGGTTATCACATACTTTATTTATATTTTTCTATATGTCAGGGCTTAATTTCTAATATTAGAAGTGATGGAGCCCTATGAAAGACCATCAGCAAAAAGGAACAAAAGTAAATAAATACATAAAATGGCTATTAAAATCTTTAACAATTTAAAAATTAAATAGTTAATTATTACCAATTAATTAATTATTATTTAATTAATATTTTATATCTGTCACAATTATTAAAGATTAAAGTAATCAAATAATTAAAATGAAGTAAAATGTAAAGAGATAAATTAAAATTTAATAAGCGATTTGTGATACAATTTTATTTCGAAAAATAACATTTTTGAGATCAAATTTCTATTACAGTTGTTGTTCAGTTACATAAAAGAAGTGCTGGAGCCTTCTTATTTAGGGCTCCGGTGAGCTCCGACTAGAATTATGATTTATCCCCAAAACTACAAAGTACTGGAGCCGGGCTCTGGCGCAATTTAAGCTCTGGTCTGTAGAATGCTGTAATACCAACTTTAGCCTACAACAATTTATATTACATTTACTATGTTATTCTTACATTTATTTTTTTTTTGAAGAAACAGGCTATTCGGCTATTTGAAAATATGTTAGGCATGACACAATAAAAGTCCTTTACAAGTTCTACATTTTTAGTTGCAAAATCATTCAAATTCCATGAGTTTTTATAGCTGTTCTTTAATTTCGTTCTGCCAGTGTATATTATTTCCATTATTATGGTATGCAAAAATATTTCATGAAAAGAGTTACTACAGTGTTCAATGTTTTTAAAATCTATATACAACAAACATTCTATGAATAAATTAATAAAATATTTTTAATAGTAACTGCTCTTTAAAAAAGAAGAGTAGACTTTCCATTAAAAGCTTAATTTTTTTAACATAATTTTTTTTTATAATGGCCCTGGGATAATCTACATTTTTGGGTACCCCTTAGATTATCACCAAATTTGTTGTTTCATTTATGGTATTTTACAGCGTATGTTTTGGAAACTCTATCACGACGTGATTAGTTGTAATGCATAACTGCATTAATTTTGATTGTTGGCAGAATATTTCTCGGGGCTTATTTACTTATTTCTGAAATTTGAATGAATGGTTAGGAAGTACGTTGCTTATTGTGTGCTTTCCACCATAAAATGGCTTCTGGGGGTAAGATTAATCTGAAGTTTCTGTACGATTTGGAACGAATGGGAAAGAAAGCATTGATCGACTGGTGTGAAAATGAAAGTTTAAATGGCTTCGCTGTCCGCTCAGTAAATTATGCAGTGACATTTAAGGATCTGGAAATTGGAGCTCATATCAACACCATCAAAAGTATGTGGGGTGCCATAAAAAGGGATTTTCAAAAGAAATGCTCCCGACAGTCCCGGAGGATATTTTTAATACTTACTTTTGTGAATTTATGTGGCGACGGTAGTATACATTATCTGTATACTACCATCCCCACATAAATTCAAAAACTGTTTAAAATTATCTGAACTTCTAGTTCAGATAATTTTAAACAGTTGTTGGATGCCATTAAGGAATTTTGTGTGCCACACACCAAAGACGCAGAAATTTCTAAATAAGATAAGCTGATACTTCCTTTTTGCACTGTGAAAATTAGATAACATTTATTTCCATTTTTATGTTAGTCTCTCATTTTATTTTGATTTAAAATGCAGTTTACTGAAATTATAACTTTATGTTTTTATTACGTTTTATTGCACTATGTTTTGGATGCTATTTTACTTAAGAGGGCATTGCACGTAAACAGGAATGGCACGAAAAAATGGCCAATTTTCACGAAGGGGCACCCTGAAATATATTTTCCCTGCCTCTGTTAAGCTATGAATAAACACAGACCACTTTGTCCATACGACTTCCAAAATTAACAGAACTGCATTTTAAAGTGCATATTCCATTTAATAACAAGAGAAAGCAAAAACTACATTTGAAACATGTTTCATATGAGATTTTATAACATCAGAAAGCATATACTTTGCTTCAGTGCAGAACTAAATTTGAGTCAACTATAAAAAGAATAAGTTCTGAAATTTGAATAAAAGATTTTTAAAATAAAATTAAAAGGAATGGTATTCTATTTTTCAGAATACAGGTATGTGAATGAATAACAGAAGCAGAAAGTTACAAATAAAGCTAAAGCTATCTTAAAAAGATGAAAACATAACTTAGAAATGAGAACACAAATTAAATTAAGATCATGGCCTTTTGATTACAGAAGTCTTTAGCAACAAAATGCTCTGAAACGAACTTAAAACTAAATTTGTCATTGTAATTTATGAAACACAAAAGCACTTTTTCAATTTAAAATTAATAGCAATTTAAATATGGCATATGACTTAAAATATTTTTATGAAATAAATAGTAAAAAGAAACATTTCAATAAAAAAAATTATTACCTTGCTGTAAACATTTATCACTCACACTACAATACATCAGAAGGCTACTTATTAAAAACCATATCAGGTATGTCATACTGGAATTTTCCAATAACTGCTACCAGTACATCTTAGGAGCTGTAATCTAAATATTAAAAACTTGTAAATCTAAAAACATTTACATTATTTACAGAATGAAAAATAAAATGACATTTTTATTTCTGAAAAAATATTAAGAGAGAATAGATGATAACAATTATCTATATTCCCTAAAATAATATATTAGTTACCATTACCAATTACCTATGTAATATATAACTGATTTTGTAGGCCTACATTTCTACAAGATATTCTGCAGGTTTCTTTTTTTCTTTTTTTAAAAGGTTTAATGTATGTTCCAGTGACATTTTCCTTTTATAATCAAAATAATGCTTCATTAAACTGTAAGAAATAATAATAAAAAAACAACTTTGAGCCACTTACATTGCGAAACATCATTCTTATTTATCAAGTCAAAATTTATTACAAGTTTTCTCTTTTTTTAATTTTTTGCAAATCAACACTGGGTTTGAGTTTTACACATTTTGCAAAGATCTTTGCCATTAACAATGATTTAATTATTTTCCATTCCTTTACTTTTGTTTCAGTTATCAGCTATTACAGTTATTAGCAGTAAATATGAAGCTTTCTTCTGCTGCATTAAAAACAATTTACAGAAGTGTACCAAATTAAGTTCCCTACTTGCAATGCAATTCTTGTGCACTGGGACAATTTCTTGTCAGCACTGTTTTACAGTATTTATGCTTGATAATTTATCATTTCTAACTTGTATTCTATAAATGTGTCAAACAAGTTTTTGCTAACTTTTAAGTAAGAAAAATAAACTTTGTAGTTATGATTACACTTTGCAACCCATGCTCAATCTTAAACATTTACTTTGAAGAGCAAGGAATATACAGTTTAATAAATTTCCTCTTAACTTTCACTAGTTCTTAAGTTCTTCTAGTGCATGTTAACATCTCTAGTTAGGAGCAAGACTTAATCACTTTTCTCCTTTAGAGGCCTCCTAAGCAAATACTTGAAGCACGCACCTAGAATTATTCGTACAAAAACTACATAGACATAAATCAAAGAATATCTGAGGCAATTAAAAAGAAATTGACCACTATACAGGAAAAAAAAGGGAGAGAAAGAAAAACTACTAAACTAAACCATTTAGCAAACTAAAGCATTCAGAAACAAATGATTCAGAAGAAACCAGTAGATGCTCTGAAGAAGGCAGCAACAATTCAGACTTTATTGAACAATTATGCAGAATCATTGCTACACTGCAAAATTTAAAACTGCGCTTAAAACATGCATAATGCAAAAGAAAACACTGACTAACTGCATACCATGAAAAATATCTGTTTTATATTAAGAAGGCTCAAAAATATGAAATAATGAAATTTATGTAAAATTCCCCAAAACAGCAGCCACGAAAACCTCTGTTGGCCTAAGTAAGAAGGACAGAAACTATAAAAATGAAGGATATATGTAGGAATTGATATATTTGCTCAGTATTCATCCATTCACAGTGGATGATAAAGCAATAAATAATGCTGATAAATATAACAAAAATTTTAAACAATTAACATTCTGCAGAGTAAATCTTTTACATACCTAATAAATTTGTGTAACTACTGTCATATATGGACCAGGTTGGCGAAACACTTTTGGCGAGAAATTCCACGATTTTACTCACCTAAATTTTTTGTTTTCATTTCAAACTTAAAACCTAAAATGTTTGAAAAACGTGGTTTTTGCACACAATTTAAATTAAAAGTCCGAAATTAAAAAAAAAGAAAAAAGAAAAAAAAGAAAGAAAGATAAGTAAAAGCATGAAGTTTCTCACCAAAAATGTTTGACGACAAATTTAAACTAAAATAACAGCAACATTTTCCAAACAATTTCAACACAAATAATTTCAAAAATTTTAAAACTAACACAAAATTAAAAATATGCAACAATTAAACTAACTCTCTACAAAATTAAAAGAATAAAAAAAGTAAATTCACTTACCATTCGAAATAGTTCCCAAAAAAACAAAATATTAATTTCAAACAGACATATCGCATATATAACCCAATATACTTTCATTAACAAAACCACGCCAGTCACACAAAGCATGTGAACCAAAATACCACAACTTAGCTATATCAGATATCTTTCTACGATTCAAAATTTTAAATGTTACAATAAAAATTTCAGCTAATCTTTACTATACGGTACACCTTGGTTTTTATCTCAAAAAATCAGCAAAGAGGTATTGGTTGTTCGTGAAATCTGGAAGCCCGCTGCGTGAAATGGGTTTTCCAGTAACCCTAATCTTGATCATGTTGGAAAAACTAGCCTTCGAGAAAACAAATTTTTTTAAAAGTTTTTGTCATTAAAAAGGGGTTATTTCTGTGAATATTGCCAAACATGTTGTGATAAATTTAGATTTTGGCTTTTTTTTTTGTAATAGTAATCCTTTCGTATTGATCCTTATTTTGGTTCTTGCCATTCTTTTCAATTGCTGTATTTGGTTGCATGTGCTTGGTATGCTCTTGTATTTTGAACTTGCTATTATTTTGCTGTGGTTACCATCATTTGAGTACGTCTGAGGTGACTAAAAGGATGAATGTTGATGAGTTGGATTGTGATGAAATTGTGAATATGGAGTTTTTGTATGGATTGGATAATGGAATAAAGACATTTGATTTTTACATGAAAGCGAGTTTAATTGCCGATACATATGAATGACCCAAAACAATGAAAAATTTAATTGAATTGCTTACCTGGAGGATGGAGGATATGTTGGTGGGGAGACTAAATGTACGCACTTGAAAGAAAGTTGGTAAATGTTTACAACTGGGTTCCCCTTGTGTTTTTACGATTCTTTTTTGACACCAAGAAGGCAGAATTTCAAGGTGGCCTCTATACAAAACTAAATAAGGAGTCAAAGAACTGCAAAAACTGTGTGCCCATATACACATCGATCTGTTTTCACTTAAAAAAAAATCCCAGAATTGCACAAACTAGGCATTGCGCACTGCCTTAAATTTGTCCATGTACACATCAATTTATTATCATGTAAAAAAATCAAGAAGCTAAAACAAAGTTAAAACTATCATGGTAAAGAGAAATGAGGTTTCATCGCCAAAATTAAAAAAACACTTATCGCTACTCGAAGGGGCACCCAATTCTACACTAGAGCCAAAAAGTTATGTTAAAATATTGATGTTTCATTTATTAATTCGTCTGTGTGTTAATTTTTTTAAAGATTTGTTGGTTAATGTTTTTATGTTAGGAAATATGTATTTTGTGTATTTATTCCTCTCTGCATATTTTTTGGTTATTTGATTGTCTCTGTGTGTTAAGACAGGGGCGAATTTTTTCTGGTTACCATGATAGTTTTAACTTTGTTTTAGCTTCCTGATTTTGTTTAAGTAAAAACAGATTGATGTGTATATGGACAAAGTTAAGGCAGTGCGCAATGTCTATTTTGTGCAATTCTCTGATTTTTTTAAGTTAAAATAGGTCGATGTGTACATGGATACCAAATTTGTGCAAGTCTTTGGTTTTGTGTAGCGGTCATCTTGAAATTGGTGCTGATTCTTCCTGATGCTAATCTTGGCATCAAAAAAGAAACAATTCACCAAAGGGTAGAGTAAATTTTCACCAAAATTTCTTCTAAAGTCAACTTACTGCAGGAAAATCAGGATCTAAATCAAAAACTTCGCCAAGAACCACATTCTTTACCCTCAACAATTTTTCTGCAAATCAAAGACAAAAACCATCAGAAACACAATTTTTCTTCCAAATCTTCATATCAGACCCGCACTTCTCACATGTAAAGTTCTTCAAAAATTCTGTATCCCATAAAAACTGCCCACACTTCTGTCAGCATAAAGGCAACCATGAACAAATACTTCATTAATAATTCCAACAACATATCTTCTTGAACTAAATGTAGCTTGAACACACTTTGAAACATGTGCTGATATATCTCCACAACTTCCTTCATGGAACTATATGCCATTATTCAACACATAACCAAATAAACACCATAACAAAATACAAACAAATTCCTCACAAAACTTTCCACATAAAATGGGTTGCCATATAAATAAAATCTCAACTAAACCATCCAACAGAAAATATCGCCACATTTAGAGACCATATGTATCCCGGGCCACATATGACATTTGTACGAACAAAAAATTTTGAATCTGGATTACAATAAAATGAACACATGGAAAAAAAGGCACTATTTCACATTAAAACTGGAGAATTGCTATGTGTATGGTTGCCTCTGTTTAAAATATTCTGAAAATTTACTGATGTCTACTAAGGTGAACTCTCTGAGTGGCCCGAGTTTTTGGATCTGTCATGAAGACCTGTATTTAAAGAGCCTTTATTAGCTAAATATGTATATTTGGAAGCACTTCTGCAGAGAACCCGGTAAATGTAAACATCGCCAACTTTGGCGATAATAGTCAACTTGGTAACCCATCAGATTTATCCTATCGCTGTTCGAAGTTTTGCAACCATTCCTCGTTCATTTTGTTGAATTATCACTGTCGTTGTTCGCATTTGCAGATTTATATTATTCTCCTCTTATTTATTTATTATTTTTTTCTGAATTTTGACAACGAATAGATAGAAAGAAACATTTTCGTAGATAGATGCCGGTTCTCGGTTCGGGATGAAAGGAGGGGTGAATGCTACTTTATAACACAGCTGTTTCACGTTGTGTTCTTAATTATTAACAGCTCGATAAGAACCATGAGGTTTCCATCGTCTAAAATAATTTGCTTTCGTAGACCGCAAAAAATGTGTATGTGTATTTTAAATAATTAAGCAATGCTTTTATTTTTATTATTGGTTATTGTCATCCTAAAATTCTGAGAATAAATCAATTTTTATAGGCGTAAAATTTTAACCAGATAATATATTGTTAATGCTTTTCTAACAATAAACCTTTCAGCAGATGGCAGGTGTGATATAAATAGATGAATTAAATTGAAATAAAAAAATATTATTGATTATCTAAGATGACAGAATAGTTTGATGCATCACCATGGTCATCAAAATTAGCAAACCACCTGCTGGTGTAAGGAA